ATGCATACATTTCTTGCACAGCACAGAGGCAGAAATTTCCATACAGATATGAAGAGGAAAGCTAACAAAAAAAAATAATTAAGTTTCTGTGTTCATATACATCAGCATATGCCTGCTTCATGTACTTTTGGTGTACAATGCTGTCATGTGTTTTTTTTTTTTTAAATACCTCTGCAAAGATGGAAATGGGCTTTATGGCAGCCAAATGTATTTAAAAATGTAACGGGCTAGTATTGGTGCTCAGCATCGGGGTATTTTCACGAGTACTTGTGAAAATGCCCAGTATCAACAACCGATATTATCGGTATTTGTACATCCCTATCCCGGATATTACACACTACTTCCAGTGCAGCAGTTGACAATTCTGGCTCTCGTGCAGTGTAGCAATTGCCTGCATCAAATACAGCAGTAAAAGAATAAATAGCTTTAAAAAAACACCCTGTAAATATACTTCAGTACATAGAAACTTAATGGATATAAAGCAGCTTATTTTGTTTGTCCAAATGTTGTGTCTGTAAAGTTGATGCCTGAAAGCAGCAGTAATTATTGGCCAGCAAGATTTATAGGGCCATAAACTCCTTATTCTCCCAGTATCCTTCCTCCTATCCTGTCTCTAATTTCACCATTTCCCATGTGCTCCCAGCAGTTCATATTCTATATTCTTCCCTGTGCAGTGTTCTGACTTTGTACTACTGCAGCTCCCATATGAGCAAAGTATCTGCAGGGCCTGGAAATCAGCCTGTTTTTATAGCATGCAGCTGTGTATACACACATTACCACATAGTTCTCATCTTGCTTCACATTCTATTCTTTCTTGTAAGGTTTACTACTTGAAGACCAGGCGCAAACCCGCACAAAATACAAGCAATCGTGTGTCTCTACAGACGCCGGAACTCATTTATTTAAACAGCCGTTGCTGGCTGTTTACATTTTAGGCAGTTTTCCCACTCGTGCATGCGGGGAAGGACATTTTAAAACGCGCTTCCGTCTGGCCGCTTATGAACGGCTGCTGGATGGGAAGCAGTTAAGTTGCATTCCCCCCCATGATGCTGCTTTAAGGACTTACCTTAAAGTGACATTAAAGTAAAAAAAAAATCCCCCCCCCCATAAATGATGTCTCTTATTCCGATCTTCTTTCCTCATGTTTCCATCTGTCCCTTCAGCAGTGCGGCGGCTCTCCGATCCAGCGCTGACTCCTCTCTGCTTGCAGGCACTTCCGATCCAGCGGTGTCTGCATGCGGGTGCACGCATCCATAGAATTACCTTGCGTCTCTGCTCGTCTCCAGGGCCGAGAATCCGAACTGCGCCCGCCCCAAGATCCTTTGCGGCCGCACGAGCAGTTCCTGATTCTCGTCGCGGGAGCAGGCACCGATAACTAGGCAAGTTTAAACCGCTGTTAAAGCGTTTTTTTTTTTTATTTAACCTTTTTGCCTAGATCTACTGCTTGCTAGCAGTAGATCTAGGCAAAAAAAACAGAGGCTTTAGAACTCCTTCAAATGATGCCTCTTGATCTGATCATCTTCTTTCCAGTAGTTTTCAGGAGTCCATCCAGTGCTGCTGCCAGTCTCTGATCGAGCGCTGACTGCTGTATCTTCTATGGTGTCTGTGCGGGTGCACGCTCCCAGGCTGCGTGCATTGACTTACCCTGTGTCTCTCCTCTTCTCCCGGCCGAAGATCTCTTCTGCGCATGCGCCTGCCCCATGATCCTTCACGCTGCTCCAGAATCTTTAGATCTTGAGACGGGTTTGAGAGGCGGAGACAGATTACTAAGAACCTGTTTGGTAACTTTTTTTAAAAAAAATTTTGTTTTTGCGTATATATACTGCTTGCTAGCAGTAGAGATTTGCAAAAAAAAGGTTTATTTCTACTTTAAGGCGCAGCTTACTGTTGTTTTTTTTTTGTTTTTTTTTCTTTTTTTTCACTATATAGCTGTTTGAACCTGTCATTCACAAACATGGAGGTTGCTATTGCTGCCACCCTCTTTTCTGAAAATTCTAGTTGCCTGGCTGTCATTCTGATCTGCTTTGCACAGTGCTTTAAAACTGAACTCCAAGCAAAACAAATATTGTCTAACAGTCTTGTATATTCTTGCATAAATCTTGGTGTCCATTTAGTCTTTCTTGTAGATTTTCACATGAATCCAGCATGAAACAACTCCTACACTTTGCCTCTATGCAGCAGTTTCCTGGAATAAAGACCATTTAACTGCTGCTCTGTCCTTGTTCAGACTGACTGGTCACTGCTGCTCAATGTATTTGTTAAGAGTGATTAGTCTTGTATCTGTCAGCAGATTTCTGCAGCCAGCCTGTAGTGAACATACCTGCTGGGTTCTTCCCACAGCTCTGCTCTCTGCACAGGCAATGTACAGCCCAGTGATGATGGCACATCTTACAAGGTAACATCGTGGTTTGCAAAGCCATTTGGTGCACACAAAATAGTTGTATCATTTTGTGTTAATTAACATATATTTACATAAGTTTTTGTTCCTGGGGTTCAGTTTTCAAGTCTCTCACTTTTCAGCTTTTCTGATCTGCAGAGCACTGATGGCAGTGGGTCATTATCACCACTAGAAATATATTTTTTCGTGTGTTTGCTGATACTGATTTTTAGTTTTTTTTTTTTTTTGTTTTTTTTTAATTAAAATAAGTAGCACCATCTTTTTTTTCTACCGGTTCTGTGCTTTCAGGAAATGTATGGCTTGGGGGGTCTTTTACAAACTCTAAAAGCAGCAGTTGCAATGTTTTTTTAAAAAGGGGAAAATTGCAAAAATGGTCTGGCCAGCTGAGGTTAAAAGCGTTATGCAGGGCTTGGCAGCAAAAGGGTTAAACCTTTCACGCATCCCATTGAGCAGAACTAGGACATCCTTCCCCCTCAAAGCTTCATACTTGCCAAGATCGCACCACCGTGGCCTGCCGGCTTTTGCACATTAATGTTGGCACATAGGCTTTAAAATCACAACTAATATGGAAACATCACTTGGAGAAGCATATGACCAACTTCCCTGTGATAGTGCCCTGCTCTGCCAATCTCTAGGTCTATACCCTTGGTTTACTACCACCATTTATTTCAGTACTGGCTGTGCAGGAAGGAGCAGTTAGGGATTGCTAGTGGGGTTAGTATGGGTGGGACCTTTTGCAGGCCCTGTCAATTTGCATTGCATGAGTAAGGCGTAGGTGTGTCTTTTGGATAGTAATCTGCAATAAAAATAACAAATCTTTTTGAATACATTTTGAAGTTTTTCATTCAAGCATGTCATTGTTAAAATATACCTTAAAAAAAAGCTGCCGGGGCGTGGCCTGGACATGGCGCCGTGAGGACGTTTCTTAGGGGAGCTCTGCAGTGACCGAGCCGGACCGACGCTTCAGTAGACTTTACCTGCCACTCTTCTTCATGCCCAAGGAGCAGAAAACCTACAGCTTCCACGGTGACACCCGCCCCGTGTCAATCTACGACTTCTTCACTCGCCGATCCCCGGCTCCGGTTCTCGCGTCTCCCTCAAAGATGGTGCTCACCCGCTCCTCCGCGGCCGGTCTCCTGTCGGGTAAGAGGCTGAGTCGAGGCACAACTTCTCCTACCCATGACATGGAGGATCCCCCTGACTCTAACTGCCCGGAGCTCTCGGGCCGGACGCCGCTCGGCCTGCGCTCGGACCCCTCCCCCGGCCCCTCACTGACACCACACGTGCTGGGCCTAGATGTTCAAGATGACAGAGGCTTGCAGGGCCTATTGCCGCATCTCCCAACAAAGCGGGACCTGGACAATATGGCGTCATCCATTGTGGCGGCCCTGAAAAAGGAATTGCATGACCTTACTCACCGCATCACAGAGGTGGACGACCGGGTCACTTCGGTGGAAACTGCATTCCACGAGTCTTGAACCCTCAGTGGTGTGGGAGGCACACAAATGCGTGGTCAGAGGAGTCCTGATCAAGCATGGTGCCCGCAGGAAACGTGAGGGGGCAGTGAAGTTGGCTCAGCTATTTGCCAGACTCCATGCCTTAGAAGCAGCACACAAAAAATCAGTGGCGGCTGCCCACTTTAAGGAACTGGTCTCGATTAGGGCAGAACTCAACGACCTCCTCCTCTCTAAGGTACGGCAGGGCCTTCTGAAAGGCCGCCGCACCTTATACGAGCTATCGAACAAGCCGGGCAGGTGTCTGGCCTCGGCCCTACGGGGTTCCCGCCAGACAACGTACATACCTCACATAATTTCCAGTGCAGGCACGAAACTGACATCGTCGGCTGACATGGCCAGGGAATTTCAGAACTTTTACAGTTCTTTGTACAACCTTAGTGCAAGGCCGGGCACTTCCCCTACCGCATCAGACAGTACAAACCTGCTGCACTACCTCAGCGACGCTGGTATGCCCACCCTGCCACCAGAGATAAGGGATAGTCTAGACACACCGATTTCCCAGGAGGAATATGACCTAGCTCTCAAGCAGGCCAAATCGGGTAAAGCCCCTGGCCCCGACGGCTACACATTGCCTTACTTCAAAACCTTCTCCCACTCGCTCTCCTCTCACTTTCTAGCCGCATACAACTCTATCCTGACGGGCTCCTCTCTCCCCAAAGATTCACTTCGTGCCCACATAGCGGTCATACCCAAACCCGGTAAGGACCCGTCTCAATGCAGTAGTTATCGCCCCATAGCTCTCCTCAACCTGGATCTGAAGATCTTTGCCAAGATCTTGGCCAACAGACTACTCCCATACATCCCTGGCCTGGTACACCTGGACCAGGCGGGTTTCGTCCCGGGGCGGGAGCCGAGGGACAACACTACCAGAGTGCTTAATGTAATACACTGTGCCCGCTCCGCCCAGTCACCCTTAATGCTGTTATCCACCGATGCGGAGAAGGCATTTGACAGGGTGGAGTGGCGCCTCATTCAGGCCACCCTTCGCCACATAGGCTTGGGCCCTGGCATGATGCGCTGGATCTCTGCATTATACTCGTCCCCGTCGGCTGCCGTCCGTGTGAATGAGGCCCGCTCTGATTTCTTTTCCATCTCCAATGGCACCAGGCAGGGATGCCCCCTCTCCCCACTCATATTCATTCTAACCTTGGAACCATTCCTCTGCCACGTACGTTCCCACCCTGACCTTCGAGGCCTGACAAAACATTCTGGGGAGCATAAGGTTGCCGCCTTTGCGGATGATCTGATCTTTTTCATTTCTGAGCCGTCCTCCTCCCTTCCAATCCTCATGCGGGAAATGGACCGTTACGCTTCCCTCTCAAACTTCAAAATAAATGTCTCCAAATCAGCTGCCCTCAATATATCCACATGACCTCCATGTATCATTGTACCGTGCAGATGTACAATAAAGTTGACTTCTGATTAAAAAAAAAAAAAAAAGCTGCCAGTTTGAGCATTAAGGAAACTTGTGTGTTGCCCATGCAGGGCAAATTTTACTTTAAGAAGTAAAATGATTGTATTTTTTTTTCTTTCTTTCGAACAGTGCATTTGTGGTGGAGAGACAGCCATGTATGCCAATGCACCCAGATCGCCCCCTAGTGATCAAGACAGGAGTACAGTTTACTACCAAAGTCAGGTTGGTTAATGGAATAATATCAATATAAATCAACAATAAGTAAAATTATCTATTTTTTTGTTTTAATAAGAAACCTATTTGTTCTATTCTTGTTTTTATACATGCCATATAGGTAAATATGTGTGGTAGGTCTAGAGGGGGGGAGTGTAAATACAGTGTGAAATGTAGAAAGATGTTTTACCTTCCCACTACTGCCTTCTGTAGATCATTTTCTGTTGCTGGTCAAATCTCAACCTTACAAGTCTGTCAAGCGTGCAAAGAAGTCCTTTTCACAATGAGCAGACGCCACTACTTCTTGAGGCAGAGGGACTCATGTTAACCTTTACCAAGGCATCTGAGATTCTTTTGTTTCAGGCCTTGTATACACCAAATGCAGAGCAGATGTGCATGAGTTTCTGCACACGCAGTGCAGTCGGTTGTGTTGCATTTTTGATGCGTTCCGGGCCGTTTTTGGCTTTTTAGTTTAACATGGGCTTTCAAGGCGTTTGCATGCGTTCCAGAGCAGGTAAAATAGTGCCTGCTGCAGTTTTTTTACCTGCTCTGGAACTGAACGCTGCAATGTGAACTAGAGCTGAAAATACCCTTGGAATACATTGGACGCAGTTTTGCTCCGGTCTGTAACTGCTCTGCACCTGCTCCGCGCTTGGTGTGAACAAGGCCTAAGGTGGTTGCAAAGTAGAATACCAGTAAGTCCCCCTGCACTCCTTGCAGCGTCTCAGACCAAATCACGATGGTGGTGCTCGCAGTGATAACCACGGATGGCGCCGTGTACATCAAACAGTAAAAGGTGAAGATCACCAGCACTCGGGAGGATGATGTTCAAATGACAATGTCCGTTTATTCCGATCGTCACATATATCACAATAGCCAATGTTTCGGGGCCACACAGGGTCCCTTCATCAGGGCAAAAAAGTGGAATCGCCCGCTGGGCCATGCTATCTTGCTAGTCGGCCCCCAGCTGGCTGTCAAAATAACTGAAAATTCTGATTGGATGCAGGCATCGTTCAGGTGTTTTGAGAGTCAGCGGGTCCGACTAGCAAGATAGTGAAGCTTGGCCCAGTGGGAGATTCCTTCATCCACACAGTTTAGCGTAGATGGAGGAATCTGTTGCACCTTTTTCCATCTGACCATAGAAATCTGCAGAAAACCTATAGGTGTGTGGCCAGCTTAAGACTTCCCTACTCCACCCACTGCAGTGTGTGCTGGCTGCAATAGAACTACAGAGACTGGACATTAGACCACTGCCTCGGCTGGTAGTCTAACAGAAAGGAAATGAAGGCAGCAGAGGTCAGGAAGCACAGACTAGTGCCATTGATTTCTGGAGAACTACATTGCTATGCAGAAAGATATGCACATATTTTTTTAATACTTCCAAAAGATAGTTACAGTAGGCTGACATTTTTTTCCCCTGTAGTTCTTCAAGGGTAAGGTTCTATCTTTCCCTGTCAAGGTGCACTCTTGGGCTTTTCAGCATCAGGCATCTGTTTCCCAGATTTGTAAGGCTGCCACCTGGTCTTCTGTTAATGCTGTTCAAGTTTTGCTAGGTGGATGTTCAGGTGCAAGCTTTGGACTTTGGGTCCCACTTTAAATAGCACCACAAAGTTCTTTTTTTTTTATTTATCTGCATATAATCCTTATGTTTATAATTGCACTTTGCCGTGTTTCTTTTCACAGACTTCTGGTCAAGTTTCCTGAGCTCAATTACCAACTGAAAATCAAAGTCTGCATTGATAAGTAAATCAAAATTGTATTACAATATTCCTTTTTATTTTTACAGCATGTTTTTCTGTGTAATCCACTTACAAAGACATTGGGGCAGTGAACTAGGGTAAAGGTTGTATTAAACTAATGTAGGGAATATGAAGAAGACTTTAAAGCAAATCTGTGAACAGAAGAAAACATTGTCCTGATACCCACCTTATATTGCAGACACCTTTGATTAGCATCTCAGTGTCTCTCTCAATAGCTTTTTCTGCCAACAGCAATGAACTGCCATTGTCACTGGCTCTGGTCCATCAGAGCTAACCTTCTTTGCCTCGTAGTTGGCGCATTACGGTGATAGGCAGCTTTACCAATCAATAGTGAAGTGCATAAAGGAGAAAAGCCAGAGCCAGTGACCACAGAAGCTATGTGCTGTTTGCAGTGAGGAACAGGTTACCATTTAGGATCTCTGGCAGCCAGGCAGTTAAAGATGTCTGCATCAGGTTGAAAAGTTACTTCATATCTAAAACTTCATCTTTAATATGAAATATGACCTGGCAATATTTTGGCAGCTGTGGGTTGAAACCAATACTCACTCCATTTAGGAAGTGCTTTGGTGACACTGGAACCTAAAGTGTTACTGTGTTCTACACATCTTGCAATGCCAGTCAAATGGGTAATACAGGGGTAGCCAGTGCGTTTTATTGTCTGGCACAATCCAGTTTATGTATGATAAATTAAGCTGCAACAGAGAAAGATAGAGGAAACCAAAAGTACTAACTACAAATCTCATCTGATGTAATTTATTACACTCTCTTTTTAGTTTTGGTCTGCAAAAGTAAAGCTGTTCATGCATACAGGAAGCACATTAGCAGTAACAGAAGTCCCAAACCCGTCTCACAGTTCACTTTTGTTTTCAGGCATTTCTTACAAGAAAGCCATTTAGAATGCACCACAAATTAATTGCATATGTCATTGTGCAATGTGTGAATTGAGGTTGGTTTTGGTTTTTTACTGACTTTCCTCTTGTATTTTGTAGAGATTCTGGGGATGTTGCTGCGCTCAGAGGGTAAGAATACTATTCTGTGTTTGTTGTGATTGCAGGTTTTACCATGCCCAGAGCCTTTTTCTTCCCGATCATGTGCAGTCAGATCTGTTATTCAGTCAAATTGGCTAATAGACAGAATATTAAATTTTTTGTTTGTGTAATAAGCTGAAGCTTTGTTGAGGGCAAAATCCTTTCCAAGACAGTTAATGTTCATTTTCAGAATTTTAGCAAATGTTATTGCAATGTATTATTGCATGCTTATGTGCTAACGGAACTGAGACCGACCACTGCACACTATCTTCCTCAAAAAGACTTCTGAGTGTGTACCTTCCTTATTACGTGACCATACCCAATGTTATAACACGAGAAAATCTGCATGTGTAAGATTTACAGTATCCTTAAACAATACATCACAAAAGATTTTTTTGTAGAAAGTTTGCAGCAGCAAACCTGAGGACAGTCTCATGATCAAGTGATCCTGTCACTAAATGCACACTAAAGTGTTTACATATTCTGAACAAACAGCAAACACACTCTATAACCGGTCCTCATTAATTTCTATATCTGTAAGCATTGTAGAGAAAATAATTTTCAAAGCTTACAACACAGGCAGTAAAATCTTTGCTTCTTTCCTCTACTTTAAACCTGCAGATGTTTTTAAGCTGTTGGATACCTATTGAAATTGGACTCTGGAGTCTTTGTTGTGATTTTGGAGTCTTTGTTGTAATTTTTGAGGATCTTACAAAATTTATGTACTTCACATTAAAAGCAGCTCAGGGAGAAGAGGCCACTGATGACTTGTGTTAAAGCTCGTTTACAGCTTGTTAATATGTAAATAGTTCTCAGTAATAGTGTTCTTAGTCTGGGCACAGGTGCACTTAAAGCTCTGGCCAGACTTCTACCCATAAGGCGTCCTGAGTATGTTGGTAAAAATAAACGCCAAGTGAAGCAGATGCCTCTAATTTGATTCCAAGGTCTGTGTAGACTTCTAGGAAAAGCAGTGAGCCAATCGCAAGAGTAGAAAATAAGATTTCTGGTGGTTTCTCTGTACACAGTCACTGTACAGCAGAACCGCAGTGTTGTCATAGAAACCAACTGACATTTTCTGATATTAATAACCTACAAAGTGCATGAACAGAAAAAAAGCCCTAAAATGTATCTAGATTTGGTGTGTTCCCACTTTGCTTATAAAACCTTCAATTCTCCTAGGTGCGTTACACACACCTTTTAGGGAACTAAGCAGGTAGGTTGTTCAAACCGTCTAGGTTAACTTAACAGTTCTGTGGATTTGGGCTGTCTCAGATGTAATTTTAGGCCAAGTCCATGATGAGATAAGTGCTCTGCTGGGATTTATAGTCCTTCATAGCCCATGCCATTCTTCATTGCTGTATAATGTATTGCTGGGATTTTTAGTCCCCCTACAGCTTGCAGTCTAAGGCAGAACTACCAGGATCACAGCATATGCAGCTGCGACCAGGCCCTGGCACTTTACCACTGTACTAAAATCATTAGTCTGTATTGTTTTAGAAAAACTGTCACATGACACTAAAAAAAAAGGTAATTAGTATCGGCGAGTACTTGAGGAAAAGTATTGGTACTTGTACTAAGTCTGGAAAATGCTTTATCTGTGCATCCCTACCCTGGACCATATGCGTCCAAAAAGCTTAACTGTGTGCAAATGTACCTGAGATATTATGTTTTAACGGCAAAGAGCTGGACACATCAAATATTGATTAGATTTAGGGTTCTTTTATTTTATGCACTTTATAGAATAACAAACAGTGCTTAAATCTCAACTCACTGGTGTGTACATTACTGCCCACTCAGACAATTATTTTCCATGGGCAAAATTATTTGGTTACGTACTGTATGTCATCTCATCTCAAAATGATTTGGTTACGTACTGTATGTCATTGTAGGAAGAGTGTAAGCTGATTGCAAATGGAAGGGAGCATTGAAGGCAGAGCAGGAGTCGATCATGGACATATAGAAAGGAGTCAGGATGGCAGTTGAGCATGGACAGAAGGAATGGAGGCACAATGGAGGAGAGAGGAGCTGACCCTTGGCGAGGCAGAGTGGAAGAGAGAGGAGCTGACCATTCGAGAAAGAGAGAGGGCAGGGTAGGAGCTGGCAGTGCAAGAATGAGAGAGAAATAAAGTAAAAAGAAAAGACAAAAATGTAAATCATAGACGAGGGGAAAAGAGTTGAAGAGCATAAGCTGATCATTTACCTGGGATAGCAAGCAAATGAGAGGTGGCAGAAAGTAGATGATCATGGACTGAGGAGACGATGGAATATAATCATGGCAGCCATCAAAAGTATAGCACTGTGGAGAATAAGGAGAACAAAATGGCAGAGACCTTAAAACACACAAGTGGTGATAAGGCAGCAGCTACAGGGCTCAGAGTTGGATAGTGACCATAAAAAATCGTGTGGATGGGGACGGCTACCAGACAGTATTGTATGGATATTGCAAGTAGAAATATTAATGGGGCTTTCTGAAATAGCAAAAAAGGCTGAGGTGGCACAGAACATGGTTTGGGGGTGTGGGGTGTTGTCTTTACTATGCTGTGAATAGCCAGTGCTATGGATAGACTCCAACAGCTGGATATCTAAATACAGAGCTGAATGAGTTTGAAGAGGGACACAATTCCTTGCTATCTTTAAATTTAATTTTTTTAAAAAACATAAAATTTACCAAAAGCCCTTTACTGCTATTTTACTTTAAACATGCATACCTCTTACGCTCATGTTTTTGGGTTTTTAGGTCACGCAAATTTAATATTCTTGGTACAAACACAAAGGTGATGAATATGGAGGAGTCAAATAATGGCAGCCTGTCCGCTGAATTCAAACATTTGGTAAGTTCATATATTTGCTATTTAAAGGATAGTACCACTTTTGCAGTCCAAATTGAGAAAACTGCACTATGTTTGTTATATGTTCCTACTGACTACCTAAAAAATAAACTAAAAAAAAGATTGTTTGAAAATATCTTGTAACTTTCTACTTTGTTTAGAGCAGGCTGCAAGCTACTATGAACAGCATCAGTGTGAAAGCGTAGGGACAAAGTGGGGGCAGACTATGTTTCCCTCAACATACAATGCAGAACCTAAGCCATGTGGTGAACAATTTGTTAGCACAGAAAATGTTGAAATCTAGTTTACAACTGATGAGATCTGCAAACACAGACAGGTTTTTTTTGTTATGTTGAACATTAAAGGAGAACTATGAGGTGAGTGCTTTTCACTCATCCTCATAGTTCTAGCTGACCTGTGACAATGAAACTGTCACAGGTCGGCTCAGTAGATCGGGAAATGAGCGAACGCATACCGGCGTTCGCTGACCTCTCGATCCTGTCACGGCAGAGAGCCGTGACAGGGGAGTGGCTGGATTCCCCCCTCCCCACTCCGATCCTCCAGCGCTGACTGGCGGAATGGATGGGGGAGGGGCGGGTACAGTTGGCTCCGCCTCTAGATAGGCAGAGCCAGCTGTCACTCACGCAGCTGGGCGGATGAAGACATAATTGTCGGGATGCGTTTCAGCTGCGGCGTCTCAGTATACCGCGCTTAGTGTGACGGGAGGATGCTAGTTTGTGTCCTCCCGTTATCCTTAGGAGAACTATGGGGAAAAGCCTTAACCCCATAGTTCTCCTTTAACTCCTTAACATTACATAGTAGGAGCAAACTTCAGTTTTAGGGTTTTCAGAAAAGAGTAAGTATAAATATAAGTAGAATTGTTCAAGTTATGCTATGTGAATGAAAACATGAAAAATATAAAGTAGGTGTTATCCCAACTTTGGGTATTAGTGCTACAATAATTTCATTTAGGCATAACAATCGATCAATTAAAAAAAAAAAAAAAAAGATTAAGGAAAACTTGTCTGCAGTATATTTACCTCTAGAATACAGACTGCCTTCTACCCATCCTAATTCCCTCACTGCCACATGTATGAAAATTAGGCGCTGATGCATCTCTCCACTGGCCATCCCTCTGGGTGCTTCAGTACACCCACTTTTATTTTAACACTATTACAACTTAATATATGAAATTTAAATGTGTATTCCAACACACTAGTAACACTGTGACTGACTGTGACACCGCACAGGTAAGTAACACTGACTCTGCTGGGGTAACACGCACAGGTAACACTGACACCGCTGGACAAACTGAACTGTCCATATTAATAGCAAAAACTGTTTGGTTAGAGCCTGGACCCCTTACATTACTCCTGGCCATACGCCCCTGATGGCGGCCCTAACCCCATATTTCCAAAACCAGCATCAACCTTATTTGCATATGCGTGGCTGGAACTTTGCTTATCCCCCTTGGATGGAAAAAATTAATAAAGCCATAGGTAAGGGTGTTTGGCTGCACCAATTAGCGTAGTATGCTAGGCACTGTGTACATGTGAGGTTCATGCAACACAGACTGGCTCTTATTATTGGCTGAATTTTTTTCACATATCCATCTACAACTTCTGCTATCAGATATTTTAGATAAACCAAGTTATGAAAATCATGTTATGTGTCCCTCTAAACAACTTATGCAAGGAAACGTTGCCCTCTTACCTAATTTGTGCATTTCTTCTTTCCTTTCTGAGTGTTAATATTCGTTACAACATTTCCATATAATAGGATGACCAAATGTTGCAATCTCACCTAAATTAGGTAATATGCTTGTAGATCCCAAGGCCTCATTCTGGTTCTCATGTTCACACATTGCACATTGTGAAACAGCCAAAGCAGTCTTCTATCAAGCTGGGCAAAAAAGGCATAGTTAGTTGGCCAGCTTATGTAGACCCAGCCTTTTCACTGCAGCATGCAGAATGTCACTTTCTGAATGAAAAGTAAAGGTTTTTTTTTTTGTGTTTTGAGGGAGAGCTCTGCAGTCATGCCCTGTAAACCTATACAGCAGTGCCATGTAGCTTTCCATTGGAGTGCACAGCATTTGTCACAAGAGAAGAAAATGCTCTGGAAAGAAGCTTTGCATCGCATGTTTTCCCAGAAAAAGCCCAGCAGCACATTGGCATGTGTGGTATTGTGTGGCAATCCCACGCTGAAATTTGCTGTTATGATCACCCAGAACTCTCAGCCAGAGAGGTTTCAGGAAGCGAAGGTTTTTCTGGATTCTGCTTGGGATTCAGGAACCGGGAGATTTCAAAGAGTTGGGAGGGATGATATCTCCATTCCTGGGTTGATGTTTTGTTAGTAACCAGCTCTTGATAATTGTACAGCTCTGGACAGCCCTTAAGGAAAGGGTGCTGGCAAGGAGAATCAGCTCCTGCGGGGAAATACGAACAGACGTTGTTCAGGAGTTGGGAGGACTCCCCAAAAGTCAAAGTGGAGTTGTGTGTGTTGGAGGCAAATGAAGACAGGGAGGCTGGGAAAGCCAAGAACCTGAGGGGCCGCCAGTACAAGTGCGGCCCCTCAGGTTGTGTGTGTGTTGGGAGGCTGGGAAAGCCAAGAACCTGAGGGGCCGCCAGTACAAGTGCGGAACAGCACTACAGAGAGGACCGGTGGGTCAGAATTGTTAATGTTAGGAGTGAAAGCCAGGAGGTTAAACTTGTGGTGTTTTGCAAGCAGTGCAAGGATGCTGTACTGAACAACCCCTTCAGGGGTATCCGATGTGAATGTGTGAACTTTTGTTTAAGTAAAATTGGTCTACCAAGCCCTTAAAAAGAAGATATTTGGGAGTGGACTGCATCCTTAAAAGTGTTCACCATATGTGGAAATATCCCCAAACATCACACATGTTGGAGATGAATTGTGTTGAAAGAGAAGTAGCTACAGTTTAGTATTAAAGCATAAGTAAACCTTAACAATGAACTTCCCCCTACGAGCCTAGGACTGGCACGGCAGCTGCCCGTACAGAGGAGAGATCAGCATTTGCCACCGCTGATCTCTCCTCCGCTCTCTCTAAAGGCAGAAGCAATGTGTATTACATCACTTCTGCCTTTAGCTGTCATTTCTCTGGTTGCTATAGCCAGAGAGAAGCTGGTGAAGCAGATCTGTGCTTCATCAGCTTCTTTGGGGGGTCCTAGGTAATTTTTGGCTATCACATAGGGGGATTTTTATCCCCCAATGTGATGGCAATCAAGTTAAGGGTAAATAAAAATAGAAGTGTTGTATATATAAAAAAAAACACCAAACGTTTTAAGGCCCCCGCATGCACGCACGTAAATACGCGTCGGTTATTGGTACATACTACCGCTAACGAAAATCTGAATCCCGAAACGAACTGACTTTCGGACACGAATGAACGAAAAATCTGAATGAAAACTAAACAAATTTTTTTTTTCTTCCATCCTGTCATTTTACTTTTAAATGATGTGGGTGAATCAGGAGCCTGACAGCCAACCATCTTATCCAGATCACGTTTTTCTATTACAATGATCCTTGCCATCCCTATTAACTTTGTATTTTCCTTCTGTTTACAGACTCTCAGGGAGCAGAGATGTGGCAATGGAGGAAGAGCAAACTGTGATGTAAGTATACTAACACATTGAAGAGGTCTCAATCAGTTATTTGGTTACTTGTTAATAAGTAAATCCTGTTTTATTTCATGGTAAAAAGACTAGCAGTATGCAACAACTAGTTAGCGATTGCGTATTGTTTGCTGCTGCAAATTGATTACTGGTTCTTTTATTTGTTCCTTCACACCATGTTTTTGAAGTTTTTTATGTCCTTATTTTTTCACAATGCCTTAGGGCCCCTTTCACACCACTGTGCTATTGCAAGTTACATGCGTTAATACCCTGTATTGCTATTCATTCTGAAGGACATCCCAGTGTATCTCGTTGGAGTGCACTGTATTGTGCTGCACTAGCAAAAATGCTGCATTAGCGATATTTTTGTTGCTGTACATTACACATAAAAATAATAGTCTACCCTAACACAAGGTACATTAACCTCCCTGGCGGTAATCCTGAGTGTGGCTCAGGGTTAATTTTCATTACCAAAAGCGGTAACCCCGAGCCACACTCGGGATTACACTGTAGCGTCTTACCTTGTCCAGGATCCTGGCTGTGTCCTCCGGCAGATGCCGGCTTCCGGGTTAAGTCCCTTGCGAGGGTCCGCGTCGCAGGGGGGGGCGGAATCGGCAAGAGATTTGAATGTAAAAAAACGAAGAAAAAAAAATGGAAACAAAAGGAAAAAAAATGAAATAATCAGACCGCCAGAGAGGTTAATGTAAGCCTTGAACACACTGTCACAGAACACTATGGTGCTAATTGGCTTTTAGTAAACCATAACCGTATACTCATTTGTTGCCTTTGGTCTGCTAAATGTACCCCTGAAAGTGTATTTTTCCTCCATCTTGTGATGGAGGAAAAAATGAAATTACCCCACCATTGTTTATCTACGGAGAATCTGATGTAAACAAACACATTGCATTACCCCTGATCTGTCACTGATCAGGTCTGCCAAAAGGGAACTTTGATGGGTTTTTTTCTGGACCTGGGCAGAGCCGAGGGGAACCGGATGTAAACACACACATCCATTTAGATCCGGCTACCCATAGACTATCATTGGGCTGCCGATTAGGTCCCACTGTTCTCCAGGCTGAAAGAATCTCAGTTCACTTGGGCCAAGTAATTGCAGATCTCGGGATTTGGATGCAGACTTTAACTTGTCTTTGCCACACATTAAATAACCATCGTAATTTTCATTCAAGGTGATCACAGATGTGCCACAGCCCTCGCACATGCTTTTAATAGAAGCTGTTAAAGTGTTGTTGCTCCTAATTGAAAGTGATGTTAAAATGGCTATAATAGCATCACAGGAAAGAGTTAATAAAGGAAGGCTCCCCTGCTGCTTAGTTTACCGGAACATTTATGTGTTTATTTGACCAATTTACGTTTTTTTCAGGCATCACTTATTGTTACTGAAGAGCTTCACCTAATTACTTTTGAGACTGAAGTATACCACCAAGGCTTGAAAATTGATCTGGAGGTAGGAGATTTAGCAATAAAGGTTTATCGTGGGAAAGGGGAGGGTGACCTCTCCTCTCCAAATGTGTACAGGCTTGTAAAATAAAGAAACTTCTGTAAACAATTTCAAATGAATACTGTATTTACATTTTTTTTTTTCATACCATTTTATAAATGTACTATTTCAGCATGATGTCTAGCAGTTACGAGAGTGGCCAGCAAATGTCTGACCTCAGTTGATCCTCACTACCTTAACTCCCAGAGCCATGAATTGGGCTCAGAGTAAGTAAAACTAGAAAAAATGAGGAAATAGAAATCTTTCACAGAAAGGCTCCGTAGATGTAGACAGAAATGTTTGCCTAAGCCCACTTTGAGGTTCTCTTTAAATGCCCAGCAAGCTGCAATGAATACATTAGTAACACTTATATTTTGGGGTTACCTGACATTAGCTATGTTATTCAGAGTTTTGTGTTGTATTTTAACTTGAATGGAGTAATTGTTTTTTTTTCTTATTTCCTGTGCAGACTCACTCATTACCAGTTGTAGTGATATCTAACATTTGTCAGATGCCCAATGCTTGGGCCTCCATACTGTGGTACAACATGCTGACAAACAACCCAAAGGTAATGTTGTAACCTGACCTGGATTGGGTGTATCACACTGACAGGCTTAAACTGTCATAAAATGGGCGCAAGTACTGTAAATCAGTGGATGTTTGAGACAGATTTAAGAATAATGTGCATGTTTTATTGCTTGCAGGGTCCTAGACTGCATGCTTTATGCTGTGGGAGGCCTACGCTACTTGTAAAATACTCCGATAATTCTGTGTGGTTAGTTGTGCATTACCACCACTGTATTGTTACCAAACCGGTTTTACATTCCCCTCTATACCTGTCAATCATAGGGTGACTTTCTTGCCATTTTAGTAATTGATATTAATGGAATGTAACATTCCATAGTAAGAGATGAGGCAGGTTACAGATACGAGGAAGCCATCGGATAGAAGTGACTGACACTGAGACTAGCCAGTAGCACACAGTGAGAGAATTAATTACTTTAAAGTTGTATATTCTGCATTACACAAGACCTTTACCTGAGCTGTTCCCACCTTCATTACTGTTCTTTAAATATTTGTGAATAATGATGGAATTTCAGACAGGCTTGTAAAACAAAGTTGTATGAATTGCAGCATATATAATTTAAAAAAAGGTTTACTTATGTAGGGTTCAGGTCTGGTTTAAGGATTCCTTCAGGCTGAATATACATAAGTCATTATATGGGATGATGTGTATAGGACGTTTGTGAGTCTTTTTAAGTACAGATGCATTATGAAGTCTGCTAATGAGTTCTGACATTCAAACCCTGTGAACCTAGGTGCTTACTAGCCAACACATTCTTGTACCGTTTCTGACTTATTTATAGATTGCAGTGTCTTTCTGCAAACCTGTTCTCTTCAATCTACTTTTATAGTGCATCATTGATGCCAATATTATAAATGAAGGTCTTTTGACTACATTTTATTGGCTCTTCACAATCAACGGGGACAGTTGATTTGTACACACAATTCCTGTGCTGTTATATATAGGTGATAAATCTTAGAACAGGAAATGGAGAAAATTTTTGTAAAATATAGCAGATCTGCATATTATATGGGTAAAATTAAAAAATACATTTTTAGAATGTGTCCATATTACAGTGCTGATCAACATTTTCACTTTAATTTCAAGAATGTCAACTTTTTCACCAAGCCTCCCATTGGCACATGGGATCAGGTGGCTGAGGTTCTAAGCTGGCAGTTCTCTTCCACCACAAAACGCGGCCTCAGCATTGAACAATTAACCACGCTGGCTGAAAAACTGCTGGGTAAGTTCTCAGTGCTTCAGAGGATACATTGATAAAGTGACACATTTTTTAGCCCTAACTGTTTTTATTTGTTTTATCTTTAGGTCCTGGAGTAAACTATTCCGGCTGTCAAATCACCTGGGCCAAATTTTGCAAAGTAATTATTGTTGCTATGCAGTGATGCATAAATATCAGTCAGTTTATTTTGCTATGCAATTTTACCGTCTTTTCTTATAATTTTACCGTCTATTCTTCTCTGAATAAGAGAAGGAACGGGTAGGAAAAATCCCACCTTTTTACAGATTCCACTAGAACAAGTTTCCCCATTGTGCATTTTGCCATCAACTGGAAATTTTGGATTTCCCCTTACCTTCTGTCAAGATGACAACCGTCACCAGAATAGGTGGCAAGAGTGAATCTCCCTGTTGATGACAGGACTGCTCACCACAGAAGGAGAAAATTAAGGAATTGTAACATCACCAGACTGGCTAGAACGAAGAAAGTCCTCCTGCATGCCTAAGGAGTTAGGCCTTAATATAATTATTCTAATAATATGTCGGATATAACTGGCTGAACACCCTAGTTTCACTGCTGGTTCAGAAGACTGCAATTGTGCTTTAGGACTATTAAAAAATGGGACACACTGTCCTCTAGCTGAAAAACAGGGGCAATGGGGATTAACCCCTTCGTGACTGACGACGTACAGTGTATGTAGCCAGCATCGGGGCTGTTTAAACAGACTCCCGGCGACTTTTGCCGCCGGGACTCTGTTTAAACTTGTAGAGCCGACTGTCGGCTTTACAACAGAAGCGATTCTGGCGACTTACCTGTCGCCAGATCACTTCTGTGTCCCGAAGAAGGGGTCGGAGCAGATTGCATCACTTCCGGTCCCTGGGCTGTCAGTTCTGGGCTCCTGCAGCCCAGCTATAAGCTATTGAAGTGCAATCTGCACTTCAATAGCCCTTTTCCAGTGTAAAGGTGACACTGGGGGTCTTTTGGACGTACCTGTCACCACCATCTGCTATCACATGGGGGGGCTTGCAAGCCCCCCCATGTGATAGCAGTCAAAGTAAAGTTTAAAAAAAAACAGTTTTTAAAATAAATCTAATAATAATAATAAATTTGTAAAAGTCCCCTGCGAGCACGCGCATCGCCACGTAAACACGCGTCGGGTACGTATGAAAACGACGAACGCGCTACACATGTTGGGTATCGCCGCGCACGCCGGAGTGAGAGCAATAATTCTAGGGCCAGTATTTTGGGGTATCGCTAAATTGATGACCTGTGGGGGCTTTTAAAGCGTCTTCTGTGGACTTTTTGGGGTACTGCAGTTTTTTGCCGTTTCATGGACGCACGCAATTTGTAAACTGCGCATGTTGGGTATCGTTTTAACCTCATCTTTTATATTTCATTTAAAAAATGGGTATTTTGTTGTGTTTTGGGGCATTTAATTAAATTTATCACTAAATTTTGGGGTTTAATAAGGAGTTGCGCTAATATTGAGCAACATAAACATTTGCAACTACCACCATTATATTGTATAGGGTCTTGGCATTCAGAAAATATATAATGTGTGGGGGTTTTAAGTAATTTTCAGGCCTAAAATGTGGAAAAAGGCCTCAGTCATGAAGGGGTTAAAGTAAAAGTCAATCACATTAGCCACATCTAAACTGTTTTTTAGCATAGGTCTTTTTAAAGAAAAACTTCTAAAAGTCTCTAGATTGTAGAGAGGTTGGTATAATTTTGTGCATTACACCTACTAAGTTGCCCCGCCAATGTGATCTCCAGGTGTAAACATCACAACCCCAAACCCCCAGTGCACTACTTTGAAGCCAACTCATTCTTGGCGAAATCCCTACACACTGTAGTGCCTACAACTAGTTTTGGCTGGCTGTGGAGCTGTGATCTGCAGTGGAATTGTCTATACTTGCAAAGTTTTCTGGAATGGTTGCACAGAGATGAGTGTAGACACATAATCAAACTTGCCACATCCCAGTCTAGATGCCATTGCAGCCTTAAGTTCTTGTTTTAGAGGCAGGTTTGCACTTATCCAGAAAGGCGGTGAAAAGAGTAAACGGGAAAACCCCAATTTTCACATCTGTTTGATTTTGACACATTTTTGATTAGGTAGTGTTTTTTAAAATGTTTTTTGTGGTTAGATGTATCTGCTTTAGTGCCCTACTTACACCTATTTTTCTCATCAGGAAAACATGGCTGGAAAAGGGTTTTCATTCTGGGTGTGGCTGGACAATATCATTGACCTTGTAAAGAAATACATTCTCGCACTTTGGAATGAAGGGTAAGTCTAACATGAATTTTACATTTAGTTAGGAGTTTAACATTTGCTTATGTTTAGGTTCATTTACTTACTGTATGTATCAGCGCTAGCAACTCATCACAGTGCAGCTTTTATTTGCTTTTTCTATGCACAGACCAATAAAATCTGGCTTCTGATTGTGGCTAAGTTGCTTGATGCCATTGTTTACTGCATTATTAGGGGAGCCCAGTTATTTTGCCGTTAGAACTTAATCACAGTAATTAGTTCTGATTGAGAATCATTGCAACAGTAACAAGTGGCAAAGACTAAACATGTTGGGACATACGAATATGTTTACAAATAGTAGCACCAAGTTCTTCACTTGCATTATACGCATGTTAAGGCAAAAAAAAATTTTTTTTAACACATGGCAACGACACAATACATTGGCAGGGTTACAAGCTCAACACCTACTCCATTGTCATTGGGTCAGTAGAGAAAAGCTCTAAAAACTTAACCTCTGAGCATTGCATTAGAATATGAGGTATCCAGCTAAAGACTTTGAGAATTACATTCAGTATAATCTTGGTTCATCAGTTTTCCAGGGCTGCCTGTAACTAAAGTGTAGACTTGCATCCAGATGGCAAGTTCTTGGTGAAAATGTGGTGGATTTATTGTAGTACTTACTGTGACATGTAAAATCCAGTTAGATTTAGTGGTGCTGACACTTTTCTTCCTTCTGGAGGGCGGCTACTTTTCTTCCTCATGGTCCCTGTGTGTGTTGTAAGGTAGCCACCGCTCCGAGCTTACTCCGGTGATGAACTACAATCTCACATTTTAGTTTACTAATTTGTATTAAGATTATATTTCCGCACGGGCTTCCCCATGAGGACCTCCAAAATGTATCAACTGGAAATATGTCCTTTTGTGATTCACAGTATTATTGTCTGCTTTGAAATCTTGTACCTTAGTATATGTGTTCTTTGCAGGTATGTAATGGGTTTCATCAGCAAAGAGCGTGAACGAGCCATTCTCAGCCCCAAACCCCCTGGTACATTCCTGCTGAGGTTCAGCGAGAGCAGCAAAGAGGGTGGTATTACCTTCACCTGGGTGGAGAAAGATATCAGCGGTATTAAAGCTTTGAGATAACTCTACATTTGCAGGTTTGTGTACTTTTGCTTGCTATTCATATTTGTTTTCACACCCAGGTAAGACACAGATCCAGTCGGTAGAGCCGTATACAAAGCAGCAGCTGAACAACATGTCCTTTGCTGAAATCATCATGGGTTACAAAATTATGGATGCCACCAACATTTTGGTGTCCCCTTTGGTGTACCTGCATCCGGACATCCCCAAAGAAGAAGCCTTCAGCAAGTACTGCCGCCCAGAGAGCCAGGAACATCCCGAACCCACTGACTCAGGTAGTAGTAGACTTTCCATTCTGAAATGTATCCCCTATCCAGAGACATACATGTTGCACTAGTAAATATCAATTTTCTGGACAAAACTATCATGCACTAGTCTTTCCTATGTACAAAGCTTTTCCAATAAAGTGCTATTAAATATTACAGCTATTTTACTTTTTATGCAGGCACTGCCCCATATCTGAAGACGAGGTTTATTTGTGTAACACCGTAAGTATTGGCTTTTTGTTTGAATATTATATATCCATTTACTTTATGGGAAACGTGTGGAAAATATCCCTTTATCAGCGATGGACAAATTCGGTAAATCTTTTAGCCAATGCGCTTAAAAAAAAATATAGTGCTAACCAAATTTTTTGAGCCTCTCCTTTTACTGGCAATACAGAAAAATGCCTGTTGGCTCCTAGACATGACAGGTAGGTGTGATAATAAAACTGAACTTAAAAGCCATTCCAAGACAAAAGCTTTAACCCCCCCCCCCCTTTTTTTATTTTATTTATTTATTTTTAGACCAATTTGTGGCTCGCACAGGGGAGAGTGAGGGCTCTCTCCGGAACTCCGCTTTTAGTACTCGTTGTAAATTACTTTTCTTGGAGTTTAAAAGACACAGGATCAGTAGATTCAGGAACATTGAGTTATACTTAGAAAAGCAGTAATAGGAGTAGATCATAAACATAGAACGGTGGGGGTCAGTGGGCAACACAGCAATAACCGAGCAAGAAAGCCTGCAGGACCTTTCATCCAAAGTTTGTATCCACAGATGGCCTGATCATCTGCCAGGTAAAACTTAGATAACATATAATAAGAAGACCAGGTGTCGGCATTGCAAATCTGGGAAACAGGAGCTTGAAGCCGAAAAGCCCAGAAAGCACTTACAGTGGTGGAACGTGGAAGTGGGCTGTCCGTTACCGGGACCTTCTGGAAAGACAGTCTGTATGAGGGATGATGTAGCTGAGAGGTAGACCAAACAAGTTTTTAACTACTTCCAAGCAATGGAGTGATATATCCTTAGGATGCACCAGAGTTGGACAGAGAGAAGGAAGGTGGAAAATTGTGACCACCTTAGGAAGAAAGGAGGCTCTGGGCATCAAGACAGCCTTAACCTTGTGAAGGATAAGGAACGTTTCTTTTCAAGACAAGGCTGCTAACAGACATTCACCTAGAGGAGGTGATTGCAAAAAGAAAGAATACTTTGAATGCCAGAGTAGACAAACGGATATATTTGATAGATTCAAAGGACCCTTTATTTTTTTATTTGTGCAATACATTTTTATTCAAATTTTAATTTTACAAACCAAGAACAAAAACATGTAGACAGAAAAAACAACAAGGAAACAAATAATGAACCCCTTGTAGCTGGAGTTTTCTCCGCTCACTGTCACGAAAGGGACTTCCCAATGAAAGAAAATGGATGTCAATGTAGTCGAGTAGGATGGGGAGAGTCCAAGACAGGAAACGGCAAGTCCCCTGGGGGAATATCGGTCCGATAAGAAGAAACGGGTATAAAACATTCCACAACATAATACGGAGCAGGCCCCAAGCAGGGACAGGACCAGGGGAAGGGAAAGAGAAAAAAAAATTAAAGACAATGGGATAGGAGGGTTAGGGGATGATAACCGGTATTCATGTTCATGACCAGTTCCTCATCAGCCATTCGCGTAATTTGCTAAATACGTAGGGCGTTCACACCTGGGCGTTTTACAGCTTAAGTGGAGGAGGGAAAAAAATTATCAGACCAAGGAGACCAAACTGCCTCAAATTTAGACATGGTATCACTTTGTTGCGCAGTAAGCTTCTCAAAAAACATAGTATTGGACATTGGAAAAATATTTGCACAGAAAGGGAACTTTTTTTTCCAGGACTTAGCAATCACTCATTTAGCTGCAGTAAAAATATTTGAACTGAATTTTGGTGACACCTGCTGGTTTACAAAGGACACTCTTTAAAGAGCCAAGAAAAACCAGGTTGATATCCCACAGAGTCACTGAATGCTGTACCAGTGGGACTACACATTTTACAAAGACCTTGACAAGAGAATGCAGAGCAATCGGTCTTTAAAACAAAATTTTCGAGAGCTGAAATTTGTCCCTTGAGGGTACTCAAAGCCAATTGTTGATCCAGGTCCAATTGTAGAAAGGTCAGGGTTCATCCCATTGAATATTTTCTGGAAATAAATTTTCCGGGCTTGCACCAGGCAAAGTATGTTTTCCACATGCGCTGGTAGATGTGGTTTTTCTAGCTTTTTAGGAGAGAAGGGATGACTGAATCAGAAAGACCCCTATTCTTTAGGACCTGGGCATCGACAGCCATACTGTCAAGGCCAGTGACCATCAAGCATGGTGGAAGAAACCACGGGACATCTGCCAGGATCCTGATGATGTTGACCTACCAAATCCTCCTGGACCTAGGTGCAGTGTAAATCACCAGAATGTCTTTCCAAATGATCCTGCAGAGTTGATGTGATGTGAGCTTCAGAAGAGGAAAGGCATAGATCAGGTTGTACTGACCCCACAGAGCCACCAGGGCATCCACTGATTCTGCTAAGGCAAGGGTCCCTAAATTGGGAATCGTGGTTCAGACATGGACCAAGTGGTGATTTCTGTCCGAACCACTATTGCCAACCTGCCCTGGGTTATGGCTGTTTGACAATATATCCTCTGGCCTCCGAGACTGATGCATCCGCTGCTAGCCACTGCCGTGGCTCTTCCTGACTGAATTTGGATTGGATGACAGTTATCAAGTCCAGCATTGATGGGATGGATGAATCGCTCGAGGGTGTTGACTGGAGGGTGAGCTTCTGCTAGCCAAAATCCCTGCACTGTCAGGGTATATGGGACGCCTCCAAAGCCGGTCAAGTTGACATCTATGCTGAGGATCTTTCAGGATTGTGGAAATAAAACATTGTGCAATTCCAGGGTTGCTGAGCCACCAGGCCAGGGACATCTTGGCCCTGGGTGTCGGGCACCTTGGAAGGTCCTGGTAGGTCTTGTGTGATAACACCAGTGAAAACATGGAGTCACCCAAGGTCAGGTGACTCGGGAGTTATGCCATGGCAACAATGGGGTCTTTGCGGAGAGGTTGGGAGATTGGACAACAGATAGCTGGGCAGGGGCAGACATTGAAACTCTAGCTCATAGCTCCTGGAGACCATGTCTTTTACCCATGCATTGCAAATGCTGTCGGCTTAGGTGTCCGCAAAGGTAAGATGTCACCCTAGTTTGGAAATTAGGGTCGTTGCCTTATTGTGAAGTGAATTTGTCTGCAGGCTTGTAAGACTCCGGAACCCAGGATTTACAATTGAACTAGGTCCCAGGATTTAGGTCTGGAATTAGAAGCCTGGGCGAAACTAAAGTATTTGTCTGCCTTCAGAGGCAAAATGCCAGGTGAATGCTTGGTTTTTGTTTTGTAGTAAAGTAATTTTACAGTCAGTGACATCCTTTGATAAAATTGTGGCGGGAAGCCCCAAAGAAATGTTATCCATTGAAGGACATGCGGAGCAATCGCTCTTTAAATTGCTGTTTCGCAGAAAAGTATTTTTGCATATTAATAGACAGACTCATTCTGGAAACGAGACGGATTATGTCCAGTAACTCCAACACAATAATGTAAAGCAATAAGCATAAGGATTGTTTGAGGTCTTGAGATATTTCCTTAGACCACACCCCCAGGGTCTGGCAAATTGCCATAACAGCAATAGCAGGTTGCATGGCAGAGCCTGCTAAAGAAATCATGTCACAGGAGCTAACAAGTCACTGTGTGATAGCATTTGGAGGTGACAGGTTCTCTTTATTGAACCTGTCACCTCCAATACAGAAGTTCTAGCACAGCACTGTGCTGGAACTCCTGTGGCAGGTGAGAGAGGAGGAGCACAGCTCTCCCCTCTCACTGTCTGCAAGGAGCTGCAGGGTTACTTTTAACCCTGCCGCTCTGCTCACCGCTCTCCATACTGAAGACGGCGGCGAGGACTTAGCCGGGAGGACGCAGCATGGAGAGGGTTAAGTGCAGGGGAGGGGGCGGCCCGGCAAACTAATTACAAGTGTTCTCTGCGACATCGCCGAGAACACTTGTAAAGAAACAAGTGATTTATCCTATTCTACATTTAGTCCTGCTTGTGCAAAGCAGGTCTAAATGTAGAAAGTAAATTACCGCCCGGCGCCCGGAACGCCATGTTCCGGTTGTCGGATGATTCAAACCTGTGCCGCCCCAAGGCCGAGCCTCGGTGGCCTTGCCGGGAATCCGGCCCTGCCTACAGTCTCACTACACTAGTCTGGACTATAATCTCACGTTTAATTTACTAATTTGTATGGAAATTGTAGTCCACACACAATGTTTGTTTCTAATTCTACCGATCCTGTGTCCCTTGAACAGTTAAGAAAAAGGTTTGAATAACCATCACACACGCACAGAATAAAAATAAGTATAATAAAATGATATTTTATTACTCTAAATTGCTTTGTATTAACTTGACAGTTGGTTAGGACTACTAATATAATTTGTGGAAGAATGTAACAATCCTTCAGCCAGCTCTTATGTTTGTGTTAGTTTGTTGAACACATAGAGCTAAATCCTAAAACTCGAGATTCTCCATATTTTTTTCTCAGTTGTAACAAATGTGCAGAACTGGTGCTGCTGCTAATTGTGACCTAGTAAGTTGCAGTTGAGGAACAAATTCAGAAAACACACATAGCCCATTCCGCCATGGTTTAGCACTTTTTATGCATGTTTTCCGGTATGTTCTTACAGCTGTTCTGTTTTTAAATATCTTCATTAGACTTTGTCTCCTTTTACTTTAATAGGACAACATGTAGCAACACATTAGACTTGCCCATGTCTCCTCGCACCTTGGACTCTCTGATGCAATTTCCTGGAGAAGGAGCTGATGGCAGTTCTGGGACCCCTTTTGGTGAGTCTGTTTTAACAACCACCTCTAAGTGTTTTTTTTTGTTTTGTTTTTTTACTGCTAACCATATTTAATATCTAAATAAAAAGATTGGTGTAGCTGGAACAATAACTGCTGAATGAAACCTGTAAGTTAAAGAAGAACTCCAGGAATTAAATTCCCTTGCAGTGGGACTACCCTTGCACTGCAAGGGTTAACTGCTCGTTTTAAGCTGGGGGCCGGAATACAGAAGATATACTCACCTGATCCTCAGTCCTGCGGCAGTCGGCGCTCACCTCTATTCCCCTCCACTCTAGCTGTGGTATGTCTCTTGGCACCCTCACGTCTAACGCAGGTGAATGGCCCTTTATTAGACATGATGACGTCAGTGAAGATTACACTGCCAGAGCACAGTGGGGAAGGGGCTGCAGGGCCTCTAGCAGCAAGGTGGGATTGAGGAAAAGGTGAGGTAAATCTTCTTTAATCCAGGCCCTAGTCCAAAACAAGCAGTTAACCCTTGCTGCGGGGCTACCCCAACACTGTTTTTGTTATTTGCTGTAGTTATTCTTTAACCTATGTTGGTTAGAGACATTATATCTGATCAGTAATAACAGTAATAATTATTGACCTGATCTTGCTATTTTTATCTTCCTTTTCCTCAACAGATAGCGTCACGTTTGACATGGACCTGGCTTCTGAATGCGCATCTTCCCCCATGTGATTAGGTCTTATCTCGGTTTCCAGCAAATCAGTGTATTGCCACACAGCCACCATCTTAGCTGTACATATCTGTACTCGTCTCCTGCTGGACACATTAAAAGTGTTTGATTTATTTAGGAGTCTGCAAGGTATTACCAAGTATCCTTAATGGGTGCTAGAAGTCATTAATCAAGAACTCATCGTTCATGTTAGTCTTTTCATGATTTTAGTTCTACTGTTTCATTACTTGGCCAAATGAGTATTTTTTTAATGTCCATGTAAACATTATAGCATTGACTGCTGCCTCAGGGCACTAAATGTTTTTTTAAGTGTGTTCACAATTTGGCTAATTCTTGAAGGGGTCCCCAGAATAATCTAAACCCCAATTGCTGATCCCAGCCTTCCTATGTAGTAATTACCCATGGAAGTTAGATCATTGTTGCTGAATTCTGTCACTTTTATCAGGACCAATTGAAGATCTACTCCGATGAATTACAACAGTCGCCAGCAATTTTAGCAGATAAATATTGGGTTTTGGGGGGAGGGCCTATTAGGTTGCGGATTCCTGCTTATCTATAGATCTCAAAGGTACAGGATAGAAACTTGCATGTCTTATGGCCCTGTTAAACAAGTGAAGTTAGATCAAGCCTAGAGCATATGGCAAAGGCCAAAATTTAAAAAGTCTCTAATATATTTAGTACATCTCTGTAATACATACACATCTCCCATGTTTTATCCCTTTATGCATGCTGCAAGTACAGAAAAATAACATCAGATGTGCCACAAATAAAATATGCTTCTGCCTTCTTAATGACAACACAATTCTGAATTTCTAAGCACATGGTGTCAGCCCTGCCTACTTTATGACGAATTACAAAGTATACAGACATCTCTTCCCCCCTCCTTTTTTTTCACATTTTTACTGTTTCCAGAGTGATGCTATGGTACCATGGTCCATAAAATAATCAATCTGGCAGCATCTAAAGTGCATCCCCTCTTCCTAAAAGCTAGCTTACCACTCTAGTAGCATGTTCATGGGCTTGTTTTCAGAAACTGGAAATAAAAGTGGTAAAGCTGTGCCTATCACCCAACCAGATTTTCTTTTTCTAGGCTGATGCATTGCTTTAGGTTAGAAGCCAGCAATACACAGAATTAAGGGGGTTGTTTGGAGTAGGCCTACTTTAGTGAGTAAATGTAACTTGTGCAGCGGGCCTTAATGCTACTTCAGACAAGAGGGAATAATTTGGTGGCTGGAACATTTACAAACATTCAACTACCACCTACTCTCTAAGGCCACCTTTACTTCAATCACTAATAGTGCTATTATATAGAAATTGTAATGCTAGGATTTACCTGTAGGTAGCACTGGTCTTTCTACACTGATATCTAAAACAGTGGCTATGATTTCATTTAGACTTCAAAGCGAACGTGTTAAAACTAGAAAATATAAGTGAACACCTTTTTATGTGAACAGAAGGTGGGGGAGGGTTGTTGTTTTCCCCCCCCCCCCCCCCCCCCCTCTTACCCTCAGTTGCAGCATGGGACTTCCCTGCAGTGCCATCAACTTTTGCATAGTGGAGAATTGGCTACCTCCCTCCATATTGGCATTCCATAGTGCAGTGCTTAGAGCCTGAGCAACTTGTTTGGAAGCCTGGTCATTGCTATGTGATGTATTTTTAGAATGTAGGTATAGGCACTTTAGGAGATTCTTGGCTGTGTTGGATGGACAAATGGTAAATCGCAGTACTTTATGCAGCCTAATCCCTGGTGAAAATGTTGGTTTATAAAATTTGGACTTAAAACAGGTTTACCTTTTTAAAACTCTTTTCTAACCCATTTTGTTAATGCAATGGCGCCCATAAATGTGGAATGGGCTATGCCTAGTCTCGGGGTAGATCTGGCAACAATCTTGTATCTTTTGTGGACTATGCAAATACCGCTGGCTGAAGCCGATTGGGGAAAATGATTGGACAGGTGAAGAAACCTTGGCTGATCACTGTTTCCATTGATGCTAGCAGTGTGTTATTCCAGCTCGCTTTTCTCATTGAATGACCTGTGTAATTATCCACAAAAATCTAGACATTCTGATTTATCTGGTCTGCAAAATATTCACTGAAACGTAACTCTATGCAGTCTGGACATTGTAATATGCCCTTGCCTCCCCTGTCAATAAATGACCATTGTTCAGGAGAGCATACAGGTATGCCTGAACTTCTGTCCAGAAGCAAACTACCGTATTTCTGTTTTTAGAAAAAGAAGTTACTTTGTATGTATTTCCCTGTAGACAGTGTGGATTACAGCAACATTATCTTCACACAATAAATGTATATTCTTTATATTCTTTTCCTACCACAAATATTTATGTATTATTGAAGGTGCAATCTCCCCTTTTTTTATTTTAATCTTTTTAAGGTAATGTTAAAACTTTGTACGCATGTCTTGGAAAATGCTTGTCAATTTTTTGAATTTTTAAAGATCTGTAAAATAAAAACTGTCTTGTTTCTGTGTCTATCGGTTCACGCGGTCTGTTATGTAGGGGAAATGCAGCCAAAAAAGAGGGCATTGAATAAACACAAACATTGTGTAAAGTGGGGTGGTAAGTATTTAGATGTGCGGGAGGGAGGAGAGAGATTGTAAACCAATATCTGCTATTAAAAAAAAAGGAGGTCTATGCCTGAAAGGGACCTGGGTTTGGAGTTACCTAAGTAAAGCAGAAGTTGTACTAGGTGCAAATGATTTACCTATGGTAGTATACCATGCTCATGTTGCAAAATCACTTTCCACAGGAATTTTCCCTTACCTTGGTGAATGTGGTGAAAATACACTTTGCAAATAATACCCAATTACCTGCAAAGAATATGAAAAAACAGGATTTTTTTTGCTCACCCATGATTAGAGTATAGCTGAGTGAATGAGGTGATGCTATGACTAAGTGAAAATGTCCTTGCAAAGAGAACATGCACAACGGCTATAGGTTACAGTGGTCAGGACTATATAAGGTACGACATAATGGATAGAGTGCAGGGTCAAGACAATGTAACTAAAAACCTAGCATATACAGGGCAGGGGTCAAGACTAC